GAGAGAGAGAGAGATAGCGAGAGAGAGCTAATAATTCTAAGCAATATATATAGATAAGGTAACCATAGAGATTTGCAAAATGGCTTGATTATGTGTATCAATATTTCGAAGAGATGTTCGATAAAAATTTTTATTATCGGTAACAAATTTTTGAGATCGCAACGAATGAACGCTCAATCGCGAGATCGCTCGCCAATTAATCTTTGATCAGTTATGTGTGTGACGTTAGCTTCTTGTAACAAATTGTCTCTCGAATGTCGTAAAGATGTCAGTGGGACTACACGCAGAGATATTTTTTTCCCATCAGAAGCACACCCGCATCGTGTCATAATCGCAAATGTATGCTTTATTTATCGGTATTTTCAATTAGAAACCGATCACGATGAAAAGAAATTATCGCTTTCAAATCGACGATAATTAAAATATATATTTGCATACTCGTCGTGGAAAAAAATGATTGCTGCAAATAACTCCAAAAATCCCGTCATCGAATTATTTGGCACAAGGAGAAATGTGTCACGTGCACGTGACGTGAAACTGCTTTCAATGATGTAAGTCGTGCGTGATCGTTGCACAGAAAATGATCATCTTCGAATCAGAACGAAAGGAAGTCGCGCTAATCAAAAGCCGATGGCTTATATCGTAAAATACACTCTTTCATGAACGTAAAGTATTCTTGCGGATGCTTCGTCATGAGAAATAAAAAAATTTGAAAGTCTATTCCCCTCTCTCGCAAATTTTATTATCAAGTTGTTATGTACACGGTTGTTTTGAACGGTAGAATAATGGGTAGTCTACTATTCGCAACAAATATAATGTACCGAAGTAAAATGATGCGATAAGGGATGCGATACTTTGTATCTTATCACGGGATTACACTTGATATAATTCGCTAATGGTGGTACCGGGAATTTCGTAACTTAAGTGCGTCCATCTTTTTTAGATCTATTAACGATAACCACATTTGACATCACGTTATCAATAACGACGTTAAGTACTATCGCCAGGACAGTCATAGGCTTATTCATACGTTTGTTTTGCATTGCGGATTATCCATTTATCTATGTTGCAATTTATTTATTTTCATCTGTATATCTGTTTTCCAGTCATTCCGTAGCTTAACTCGCATATTAATGAGCAAAATATATTGCAAATATGGTATCGGAGATACATCAGCAATTTGTTCGTCCACTGGTATGTCACGCTAGCATTGTTGCTGGCTTTGTTGAATCAGGGCCAAGGTTAATGCCGCGAGTGGTTACGCCAGTTCGAATAACCTGTCTACTTTTAGCTACATAGCCGTAGGACGATACCGCGAAAAATCCATCATCTACCGATAGCAATTCGTGATTCGTGACGCGAAATTTGCGCGGCAAATAACAAACGCGTCGGCGTCGAAGACCAAGAAAAAAAAAAACAAGTCTGTTAATAAGACAAAGAAAAAAAAATTGAAAAAAGAAGAAAAAAAATTGCGGCGTATCTGCGGAGAGTTGAATAGTCAAGAATACGCGGAACGTTAAGTAATTAATCTCACGAGTGAGTATACCCTCGGCAACACGCAAAGTATGTAGTCAGCCACTGTAATTAGCCCCTACGACGACGTCGTGAAGCGAAACGACGACTCCCCACCTTTCGTTGATGCGAAATGTCAAACGGCTTTTGCCGCGAGCGTACGCTTGCACGAATAACAACGTAACTATTATGGAAGTAGGATAAAAGATTTACATTCGTATACGCGCACGACGTTATGGACTGGGCGTAAAAGAATAATGTGTACGTTCCCCGGATGTTCGCGAGTCATGTCTTCATAAATAGAATCGATATTTCGAGAGCCGGCAATTTACTTACGTCCGCCACGTGCCGCCTTTTGGGAATCTCGCGAGAAACTAAGTGTATTGTCTTGAGTTAGTTTAATGTGTTTAATGACAAATTGCGACGCATGCTGAATACGGGATGTGGTACATGACTCGTGAATAACAAGTTCAGTCTGGTCTTCTTTCCGTTTTTTCTATGCAAAGAGCCAGAAAAATGGAAAAGGACTGGCATGATAATGAGTCGCAATTGAGCTGAACATCCAAAAACTGAACATCCAAACATATCGCGAAAAGCGCGTGATTCAGCAAACAAACCCTCGCTGGAATGGACTCGTTTCGCGAATGTGAACCTGTGACTTTTCTTCGACGAACGCTACAAATACAAATTTTTGTTAAATTTTAATACTAGAAATACCAAGCAATCATTTTTATCTTTTAAATTAATACTCTTTTCTTCGTATTAAAAATATAAAATTTTGAAATTTTGTCACATTTTTTATCACTTATTGTTTTTATTCTGATGAATTATAAACTCAGAAAATTATAAAATTCTATCTTTGATAGAAACAAATATAAATTTTTAAAAATAGCAACGGTAAAATGTCACGCTTTAGTATCTCTAATATTAAATTCAGCTCTTGAGTTAAAGATTTCGATATTGAATAGTAAAAATTTTGAAACAGGTTTATTAAAAAATTTAAATGGTTATACATATTTTAAAATTCTATAATGATTTTACTCTCTCTTTTCGCGTACTTTTGTGTAACATTAGAAAGAATTATGAGAAGATGACTTTGGCGAAAATAGAATCACAGCGAGAAAAAGAATAAACATGGAAATATCTCAAAAAAAATATGACATAAAAAGTATGACATAAAAAACGAGAATGCTTTTAAAAATCGTATTTTCTGACATAATTGTATAGTTGCGAATGATAAACAGCGAGTTAGTCATATATTTATGGATTTCTTAAGACGTGGATTTCTTGATATAATAATGATAATAATTTTATCTTTCTTCAGGCAAAGCTGACTTTGAAGATGCAATATGAATATAATTTTTAATAGAATTTATCAATCCTTTTTATATTTAAATCTATAAAAGTTTTATAATTTATATATATAGATTATATATATATATATATATATATATATATATATATATATATATTCTCTCTCTCTCTCTCTCTCTCTCTCTCTCTTTCTCTCTCTCTCTCTCTCTCTCCCGAAGAAACCAGTTTTTCGTAATTCGTATAGGTGCCAGTCTCAATTGGGAAACGTCTACGAGGAAAGACAGAATTCGACACATAAGTTTTTATCTAATGTAATCGCTTTGAAAGTTACGTGACTTTTTCGCACGTCAAGTTGCGAGCGAAACGGCATTATAAATACAGCGCTGATTTATCGCAACTTCATAATAGACATTTTTACCAGACTCTTTAGAAATTGTAAAAAAATGTGTCAAATAGAAAAGAGAGAAAAAAAACGCAATAAGAAAATATATATTATTGATTATTAACAGCACAGTATGCATTAATAAAGATTTAGATTTTCTGATCATTCGATTCTCCAAACGTATGGCATGCTACTAACTATAATATCTTGCTAACTATTTAACATTTTGTTAAACTGTAATATTTTGTTTGTAAAAAATGTCAAGCTGTCGCGTTTGCTGTTGCAACGAGAATTGTTCAGGTTTATTTATTATGACGAATGTACAGCACTGACTTTATGATTGCGCCAGCTGATATTTAATTTGAAGATTGCGCATTGCTATCGATAGCGAACTGCGTTTTGCGACACTCGAAACTCGCGAGAAATCAAAATAACCAAATACGGCGAATAAATATTTGGTGCGATAAATATTTATGGACTGCAACCACGTGGTGTAAATGAATGCAGGCGAGGCGATACGTTTCGAGCCGTCACTTAAATGGCACGCGGAGACGTCGAATGCACGCGTGACAAACGGCTGCCGTAAATTGCAATGGGTAGAGTTGCAAAAGGATTTGCGAGACGCGGCAAAAGGCGGCATGATAAAATTTGCGCCGCTTTGCGAACGTCGTTACTTCTCGCACAATTTATTTGACGATCGACTGATGACGCCCCGTTGTGTTTCAGCGTGGAACGGGAGGCTTCGAAGAACATCGAGGAGAACGAGCGAGAGTGTTTTAAAGATGCAATCGTCTCGAGCCGGAGTCTCAACAAAGGTTTCGTCGAACCGACGAATATCAGAAATGCCATTCGAGAGGTATCAATTATCGGCATCATCCCGGAATGAGGGATAATTATATCTTGTTATTTTAGTGCAATAGAAAGAGTACGTTTTTTACGACGCAGACGAAAAGCCTTTCGAAGGCTATGTCCTCTGAACATTGACGCAAACTAATATATATATATATGTGTGTGTGTGTGTGTGTGTGTGTGTGTTGTTGATACTATTACTTTTAAATTTAAACTAAAGTAATTAAACTTAAAAAAATTTAAAATTTAAATTTAGTAAATTT